TATTTTTTTATGAATCGATCAGGGGAGGATTTACAATATTTTTATGTCCTGGAGTAAAGATTTCACTGTTTGGCCAGCTTTTTTTAATGTAATGCCTTTCCCTATCTCTGCTATCCTACTCACACAGAAAACAACAAATAATATTTTAACTAAGCTATAATCCACGCAAGAGAGCAATGACTATCAAATCGCTGCATATTTTCAAACCGTATATTTCATATTCTATCTTTTTCAAAAGCAGTTTCATGTTTTCGTAAGTCTCTTTCATGTTGGATGCATGTACTATTGGCACTGATGGGAACTTATTTCCGTTGTGAAGGAGAACAGCTTTCAAACTAATTTTGGAAGAATCAACGAATAAACGCCACTCTTCTGTATCATAATAATCATGACCAAGCGCTTCCATTAGACTAAAAACATCATTGCAATATAGTAAATCATTTTCTTGTGAGAAGAATTCTTGAAATTCATCTTGACGATTACGAAAAAAGCATACTTTTGTGCCTTTATGCAGCAGATTCCAGCCTTTTAACTTAGAGCCTAAAGTTTACTCTGTTTTTTGGATAAATCTAAATCATGTACGAGGTCGTTCAAATCTCCTTGGGTTAACAAATGAAGTTCAGATGAAGCACCAGCATCAAAATTTGTGTCACCCGCCTGTTGCTCTCGTCTATCTGAATCATCGCCACTAAATAACACATTTTCAGGAGGCTGTGGCACAGGTAAAATATCAATATGAGGAACCGGCTCATAGCAGAAGGCAAATATGGATATTCAACTGTATGTCTGGATGTAATACCTGTAGTCTTTTTCAAACAAAAATAACAGTCTGAAGAATGGTCTTTAGGTTCCCTCCATATCATTGGAACAACAAAAGGCATATGATGTTCACCTTTAATCCACCCTGTAAGACGTCGAGCACAAATTTCACAACAATGATGAGGAGCCCAAGTCTTATCTTGGTCACAGATTTTACAGCCAAAATAAAGTTGATAGCACTTTTTGATGAGCGGTGTAAAGTTTCCCCTTTGAACTTTGAAAGTTAATGCCCCACAAATGTAACAGAAAATATCAGAAATAATGATGCAATGCCTCGGTATATCGACACAGTCTAGTGCACGCGATTTATAAAATCAAATCAAAAGAGAAGAATAAACTGATCACTTCAAATTTACCTGTCACTTCTGATGCAAATCTATTAAACAAATCCTTAGGTTCAATTTAAATATATATTTTAAAACTGTTATTCAGCAAATAGATTCCAGAGTTTGTCGTTATTTTTTAGTTGACAGCAAAACAGATTGCATTATAAAATAAACATATTTATTCAAAAATTCAATAATTTGTTATTTAAATTAAAATTTATGATTCTTAAAGAGCAAAATTTAATTAATAACAAATAAAATAAAGCTTTTGATTCCACATATCAACTCTTCTTGTCAAAGATAAAGCGCTAGCTAATGTAATGATGTTTACTTAAAAAATGCTTACGTAACATTTTCTTCATTATTACTTTATATACCAATTTATAGAAAAAACGGTTATTCTGAAAGAACTGTGGGTGATGGAAAACTTCATTTTTGATTTCATTTTTGAATTCAGCATGAAAAGTTACATTATAATCAACATCAGGTTTTCTCCGGCAAAAAAAAAAAGTTTATTTTGTAGACCTGTGTTATCAGAACTTATAAAAAAAAAGTTCATTTTCCTTCTTTAAAAATATTTACATAGAAGCAATTTAACAAAACACATTTAATCTCAAAATTAAACAATGCTTATTTACATATCTCTCGACAGAATGTATCTACTCTAGTCTCTAGTTAAAACCCAATAAATAAATATATACACAATTTAATTATTTTTATATGTCTGTGTAACTCTAAGTCCTTTTACATCACCTATGTTGATTTATATTTAAAATTTTGATTTTTTTAATCGTTAATTATGGTTGCTAAAATGATTCTTGTAAAAGGGCAACGTCGTGAGAGTGACAAATAATTTGGATTTGGGCGTTTACATAAAATGGTGAATATGACGATGATTTTTACAAAATTTTAAGAATTTGATCAGGAAATGGGTGTTTTGGTATAAAGATAAAATATTAATAAAAACAGAAATAAGTTTAGAATTATGATATAATGAGAGTTTTTTTCAAAGTAATATTAATAATGCATTTTTTTCAAGTTGTAGATTTGTAGAATGCCATTTTAGGTGAATTTAAGAAAGGCATGTAAGATTAGTAAATTGGTAGAAATGCGTGATGGGCAAATTTTTCTTTGAGTAAAATTGAGAGTAATAACTTGAAATTTATAATCTGATTAAAAATTAAAGTACATTTGATAAATGAGAGTGTGAAAGTTTTAAAAATTGAATAAAAAATGATATAAAAAAGGTAGATTGATTTAAAATGCTTAAAGTGAAAATATAAATAAAATATTTATGGAGAATCAAGTTGTGAACTTGAGGATAAAGTTAAGATAGGTTTTTAAAACTTACAATTGTGTGATGATTGTTCAGTCAGGAAACTTGGTCTCTGATTGTTTTCCTGCTGACGTGGAAATCGCTCCATGTAGGGCTTGTAGAAAAGTTCTTACTGGTCTACATGGTGGATGAGATGGATCTTGGTGACAACCGACGAGGGCTCCCGCTGATGGTGAAGTGACTCTATTTTTGGCTAGGCCGGAAGTCTTATATATATTTTCCGAGAGAGGAAGTATTGAATTTCAGCAGATGCAACAAGAGCGTGGATCGGAAGCGAAATTGTACACTGGCGCCGTGGCAGTTTCCATCTTTAGACATTGTTGTTTTGGGACTGCTACATCTCGATCTCTGCTTTAGCTCAACTCTTAATCTATTACAGAGTTTTATTTATTTATCCTTAGTTTGTACAAAGTACATTACTTAAGATGATGAAATGACACATGTCAATAATGTGTATAATTATTTACAGATTTTCTTTCTATTATACAACAGGAAAATCTTGTTATAAGTATTATACAATATGGGGTTGTTGGTTTAAATAAACATATATATATATGATATCTTTGGACCTCTCGGCCCAGTTTTATCTGATACTATATGAGCTTCGATGTCACCGCTGCCGTGCAGTCGTGGGGAAAGCAACACAGCTTGACCAAAGGTGAAATAAGCAAACAGAAATTCCACAGAAGAAGAGGCTGTGATCAAGAAGGAATGGAAAGAGGAGAATTCAGGCAGGAAAGGATTACCTGGCAATCGATGGGACGTGGACCAAAGCTCTCGCTGACTGAAGAAAGCGTACTAACTACCTAGGTTTGGAAGCCTCCTTTTTTAGCTTCCACGGGTCCAGGCAGGTCACTGCGCTTTCTGATGTAACAAGGGGGGAAATTTACATCAGCCAAGAGTGCCATGACTTCGTAACACTTGGACTGGATTTCTGAAGCCTCGTTTCCTAGTTTGTACTAGGCCTGATTAATTTCACACTTAAGTTTCTCCTGTAATTCTCCATTCCTTCTATCTGTACAGTTGCTATACTTTATTAGTCTTAAGCGGTAGAGATTTATGTTATTTGATGTTTCATAGTTGCAGTGAATACAATGTTATCATTCACGTGGTGACACATGTGGTATTACATTTTCGGATATATTACAATAATGCCATGGTCTTAAATCATCATATATATATATATATACATATAGATGACTGCGGCGTATAATTATAAAGCTATACAACCAGTTTAACCGCATAAGTTTCTTTTTATTTATGAAAAATCATTTTTAATTTCAAAGAGAAATAATTTAATATTTCTAACTTTGGATGACGTATGAAAAGGTTGAATATATGAAGAATGATGGTCTATATATGAATGGATGACGTATGGAGGGTGAAAAATATGAAGAGTAATGGCGAACAGAAAAATAAAAGTGTCCAGGAGCGGGAATCGAACCCACAACCTTCTGCTTACCGGGCAGGTGCCATGTCCACTTTCCGTTTCCGTTCGCCATTACTCTTCATATTTTTCACCCTCCATACGTCATCCATTCATATATAGACCATCACTCTTCATATATTCAACCTTTTCATACGTCATCCAAAAGTTAGAAATATTAAATTATTTCTCTTTGAAATTAAAAATGATTTTTCATAAATAAAAAGAAACTTATGCGGTTAAACTGGTTGTATAGCTTTATAATTATACGCCGCAGTCATCTATAAGTATTATTAGTCAGTTTAAATATTAGTTACGAACGGAAAAATACGTCCAGGATAGCCTAGTGGACATGGCACCTGCCCGGTAAGCAGAAGGTTGTGGGTTCGATTCCCGCTCCTGGACACTTTTATTTTTCTGGTCGCCATTACTCTTCATATTTTTCACCCTCCATACGTCATCCATTCATATATAGACCATCACTCTTCATATATTCAACCTTTTCATACGTCATCCAAAAGTTAGAAATATTAAATTATTTCTCTTTGAAATTAAAAATGATTTTTCATAAATAAAAAGAAACTTATGCTGTTAAACTGGTTGTATAGCTTTATATATATACATATTAAATACCCATTTCTTGGTTTCTCGAGAAGCCTCTGGTCTAAAATCATTTTTGGTCGCAGTGGTACAGCCTACTCCACGCTGACGAGTGCCTACAGCGCGAAACGTGTTCGTGAATGGCTTTTCTTGATTTATCAAGAAATTGGGTTTGCCAAATATCAGGGAACGGAATAGATCAATGTTTAGTTGATTTCTGTTCCACCAGATGGCGCTCTGCCTTCAGTAAAGCACATGTGCTCCTGGTCAGGATATGCTTTCTTTATTTTTAATATCAACACCTGACCCACTTATTCTTTTTTCTATTGTTTTTTCTAAAAATATTTTTATTTATATAAAAAAACTAGACGTATGGCCCGGCTTCGCCCGAGAATTCCCCCGATGGCTATTTCTTTTTTTCATTTGAAAAACTTTTTTTTACGCGGAGTAATCCGGAATGGAATGAATACCCAAATTTGGCCATTTTTTTATAAAAATCATGGTTCAGTGGTAGAATGCTCGCCTGCCACGCGGGCGGCCCGGGTTCGATTCCCGGCCGATGCATTTTTTTTTTACAATTTTTAAAACTCATTTATCTCTATCTCTATATCTCTATCTCTCTATATATAAAAGTCAATTTCTGTCTGTCTGTTTCGCGATAAACTCAAAAACGACTGAACCAATTGCTACTAAATTTTGCATGTCGCTTTTTATAAACCTGAGGAAAATTTCCGGCTGCATTTTGATTAGTATTTTTGGCTATTTCTTTTTTTCATTTGAAGAACTTTTTTTTACGCGGAATAATCCGGAATGGAATGAATACCTAAATATGGCCATTTTTTGAAGCATCGGTGGTTCAGTGGTAGAATGCTCGCCTGCCACGCGGGCGGCCCGGGTTCGATTCCCGGCCGATGCATTTATTTTTTAACAATTTTTAAAACTCATTTATATTATATACTAGGCGAATGACCCGGCTTCGCCCGAGAAATCCCTTGGGTGCAATTACCTTCATACTAAAAGTATATCAATAATAAATATTAGAAGTGCCATAGAATAGCAATAGAGAAGTAACACATAAACTACAGGAAAAAAGTGTGTGTGATGGCAAAAATTGTATTATATTAGTGTTTAGGTATTTGATTTAATTAATATAGTTGATATAATAATATAAATTTATATTATCCATCTATATTAATAAAAAGCAAATTTCATAAGTGTTGTTCACTGAAAACTTTCGTTACAATGCATCAATTTCGACCAAATTTTCAACATTTATGTAAAACGAGATGGAGCAGGTTTTGCTTAACATCAAAATATTTTTCCTAACTTTAACAAGCGTAACTTCGCTGTTATAGATTAAATACAAAAAAAATCAACAGAATTAATTTTATTTATATATAAATACAAAAAAAATTCAGCAATTCATTCAACTCAATCTAAAAAAATATTCAAAACAAGCAATTTTAAGATAACACCATATGTAAAACAGTCGGCCAAGAAAATTCATTCCATTCCGGATTACTCCGTGTAAAAAAAAAGTTCTTCAAATGAAAAAAAGAAAAAGCCAAAAATACTAATCAAAATGTAGCCGAAAATTTTCCACAGGTTTATAAAAAGCGACATGCAAAATTAGGTACCAATTGGTTCTGTAGTTTTTGAGTTTATCGCGAAACAGACAGACAGACATTGACTTTTATATATATAGAGAGATATAATAAAATATATTTTAAAATGTTTTTTCTATTGCTTTTTCATATATTCATATTAATATATATAGTCACGACCGTCTGTCGTGGCCTCTGTCACGGATAATATACAGTCATCATCGTCATGCGTTCTTAATTCTGTCACCGTTTGCTTTTGGTTCAGTGGTAGAATGCTCGCCTGCCACGCGGGCGCCCCGGGTTCGATTCCCGGCCGATGCATTTTTTTTTTTTTTACAATTTTTAAAACTCATATATATTAATATATATAGTCACGACCGTCTATCCTCATCGGCCGGCCGCCTCTGTCACGGATGCGCGCGCACAGGGAGGTCACGTGCTCGCCGGCAGCCAATAAAAATAAATAAAAAAACTCCCTCGAGCCGGATTTGAACCAGCGACCTAAGGATCACCGTTTAAACATCTACAGTCCTCCGCTCTGCCAACTGAGCTATCGAGGGATACAAACTGTATGAATAAGTTTACCTTATAAAGTCAACTAATCCTATTTCAACACAAAATGTATTAATATATATAGTCACGACCGTCTTTCCTCATCGGCCGGCCGCCTCTGTCACGGATGCGCGCGCACAGGGAGGTCACGTGCTCGCCGGCTCCCTCAAGCCGGATTTGAACCAGCGACCTAAGGATCACCGTTGTAACATCTACAGTGGGGTAAAACACGGGCGTTGCCCGGGTCATTCGGCTAGTATATATATATTTGAAAAAATAAGAGAAAAAATAAAAGATAAAAAGGTAATAAGATATCAAATTTGCACATTTTCATTAAATACTTCATCAAATTGCTAGTGAATTGTGAACCCCTGTCGCTAATAAGAAACTTTAGGGTCTCATGACGCATAAAATATGTTCGATTAAAAATGTAGAGACACTTTCTTTACTGTTGCTTCCGGTCCTGCCTTTGTTTCCGCATACTTGGTATAATAATCCTTCGGCACAATTATCCATTTCTTTCTTATTTTCGTTGATGGCAAAGGGCCAACAAATTAAATTCCGATTTTTTCAAAAGCTGAGGAAATAGGTTGTAAAAGTCCAGAAGGCAATTGAATTGAACCTTTCCGACTTTTTTAAAGATGGAACGTCTTTACAAATTCTGAAACATCTTTCAACATGGAAGGCCAATAGTATCTATTCTTTAATCGTTATGTGGTTCTGGCGACGCCCAGATTACTATTCATCATATGGTTGTGATATTCACTCATAATTTCTCTCCTCTTATTTGGCACAACCAGCAACCATGCTCTGCCTTCAGGGTTTGGTTTTTTTTATAGAGACACCCATCCTTCTCTTTAAAATATGTTTAATTGATCGTTTGCTTCCTTTAAGGCTTTTCAGAACATTTTCTATGAAGTCGTTCTCTTCGTTTATTATCTGATTCAAATATAGACCTTCACAATCTTTTTCCCATTCGTTTTTTGATAAGGGCCCTCTAGATAAACCATCGACGTCCAGATTATTTTTTTTCCCGATTTTAGTATAATTTCGAAATTACATTCCTGGATCTTCAGTTTTTATCGTGCTAATCGATCAGTCGGATCTTTCTTATTTTTGAGCCAGCATAGTGCGAGATGATCAGTTATAATTTAGAAGTGCCTTCCATATAGGTAGGGTCGTAATTTGGACATCGACCACACAACGGTTAGACATTATTTTTCAGTAGTGAATAATATTTTACTGGTTTGCTCAGTGTTCGACTCAAATATGAGATCACCTTTTCTTTACCGTCGAACTTTTGGACTAATGTTGCATCCAGGACGATGTTAGACGCGTCAGTAAGAATATAAGTAGTTGCATTAGGATCAAAGTGTTCTAAGATTGGTGGTTTTAACAATGCTACTTTCAGGGTTGGAATGATTTTTTCTTGATTTTCTGTCCAGGTAAAAAGTACATTATTTTTTATATAGGACTGGTTAATGGATCAGCAATTTTCGAACACTGATAGATTTTCTATAATATAAGCACATTCCTGAAAATGATTGATATTATTTTCTTTTTGGTCCGAAGAAAATCTCTCATAACCTTGATATTATGCGCAGCGGGTATTGAACCATGTTAGCTGGTTATATGGTCAAGGATCTCCATTTTTTTGAAGAAAATTTAAATTTTTGCTGTTCAATTTCAAAATAGCCTCACAAAAACACATTAAAACAATTTCTATTCTTTTGAGATGTGTTGAAAAATCTGAGCTATATATGATTACGTCATCCAGATAACAGAGGCAAATTTGCCATCTAAGACTGCCAAGCATGTTTTCCATGTTCCTTTCAAAAATAGCAGGGGCGTTGCATTGTCGGAAGGACATTACGTTGAACTCATATAGGCCATAGGCTGTAGTGAAGGCTGTCTTTTCTTCACCTTTCTCTTTAACTCTACTTTCCAATATCCTGATTTAAGGCCTATTGCTGAAAGGTATTTGGATCCCTGAAGTTTAACCATCACTTAATCATTTCTGGGAATTGGGTAAACATCCTTCACTTTATATCATTCAAATTTCTGTATTCCACTCAGAATCTGTACTAACCATCACGCTTCTTGACCAAATTATGGGCAAGGACTCAAAGATTGTCTAATTATGCCGTTTATGAGCATTCCATCAATTTGATTTTTAATGAGATCTCGCTCTTTAGCGCTGACCCTGTATGGCTTGTGTTTCTGTTTCGAACCTTCTCTATCAATCCGGTGTTTAGCTAAGTGGGATATTCCTAATCCCGACGAGAACAATTCCGCGTACTTTCCCAAAACTTATTTCAATTGCTCCTTTTCCTTATATGATAAATTTTAATTTATCTGAAATTTATTTGAGGTTATTTATTCTGGCTGGTTTCCGAAGCACAATGTTTGATTTTTCAATATTTTTAGTGCACGCGAGGATAAGGGTTTGTTATCCAGATATATGTTTCCTTATTCACAAGCTCTAGTTTGACGGTCTCTTTGGAACTTTTAATTTTTTTCTGTTGATATTTGTTTTCATTGAGATTTTTTGTAAATTTTGTTTAATTATTTCATGCTGACAATTAATTTTTACGTTCATTTTCTTAAGAGAATCTCGTCCAAGTATAAATATTCGCAAATGTGTTCCCATTACCACAAATTGATGTTTAATTGTTTTATCATAAATTTTTATATTTAAAACGATATTTTCTACGATATCCTTTTGTCATTGGTTTCGTAGCACATTTATCACGTATATAGCACGTATCATTATTTATTATCTCAACGCCTGTATTGAAAGCTGTCCTAAGGTCAACCACTGAAAGATCGGCGCCTGTGTGTATCAATCAAAGCTTCGAAAAATCCTATTCTATTCACATTAATGTTCATTTTATATTTAGGGTCCAACTTTTTAATATAATTTATGGTCTACCTGCTCTGACAGACTCAGGCGCGATGCGGTGTTTAAATCTTTTAACACGGAATTTCTATTTCGGGTAAGAATAGTACTCGAGTGCGTGCTATTACTTACGTAAACGTAGAGCAAAGGTCTCAATTTTCAGTTCACCTATCCATTCTAATTTCTTTTTCGAACTTGTCTAGTGTAACTATGGGGTCCTCTTCCACAATTCTTACAAACCTGACTCTGTAATAACGCGCTACGTGTCCTGGCTTCTTACATTTGAAATAAAGGTGGCCCATGAGTTGCGAGCCCTTTCATTTTTTAAATAAAAAATTGAAAGGCAAACTAGAATGAAAAACTAAAACTTTTTTATTTTAGGTGATAAATCATTGTTTTTTCAAATATATTTAAATATAATAGTAATTCAAAATGTCCTCCATTTTCTTCCAAACACAATTTAAGTCTTTTAGGGGCCCTTTGACAAACACGAGCTCATAAATCAGCATCAAGA